TGCAGTGAGTGGAGACACCTTGACTGCAGATCCAGCCACGGCAGGAACGGGGAGCGGCTGCTGCCAGAGAGAACTGCGGCACCAGGCTGTCCTGGCACACCAGGCTGTCGTGGCACACCAGGCTCTCCTGGCACACCAGGCTGTCCTGGCACACCAGGCTCTCTGGGCACACCAGGCTCTCCGGGCACACCAGGCTGTCCTGGCACACCAGGCTGTCCTGGCACACCAGGCTCTCCTGGCACACCAGGCTCTCCGGGCACACCAGGCTGTCCTGGCACACCAGGCTCTCCTGGCACACCAGGCTCTCTGGGCACACCAGGCTCTCTGGGCACACCAGGCTCTCTGGGCACACCAGGCTCTCTCTCCTGGCACACCAGGCTGTCCTGGCACACCAGCCAGTGTTTGCATCCATCTGAAGAGGGGGACTGTACTTCCCTGAGCACACACCATCAACCATGAGCTGGTCCAGGGGGAAGATGCTGCACCAAGTCCTTCTGTCCCTTTTCCCGGCCACGCCTGCTTTCACCACCCAACTCAGGGCATGAGGAAGGACCCCCCCCTTCCCCTCCACGAGCTGTGTCCATCCCACAGGGGTGTCACCCACCAAGAGCCAGCCAAGTGCCTGGAAAGGGAGGTCAGAGGGAGGAAAGGAGCTGCCCTGAGTGCAGGGAGATGGTTGGAGGCACCTTCCAGCAGCCAGGCTGGCGGGAACAGGTGGGGAAGGTGAGGGCTGACATCTCTCAGTACTTAAATCATTCCCGTTAGTACCTTTATGAATGGCAGCCAAAAAGTGCCATAATTGCTGCAGTGACGCTTGCTAATGACTCGAGTTAGATCTGGCAAGCAGTCAAAGGCAGGAGAGAAGAAGAAAAATCACAGGAGTGAGATTGACGTCTGAATTCCTGCCTGGAACACTGCAGAGGAGAGAGGAGCAACCCAGCTTGGGACCTGCAGCTATGGACAGGCAGGGACCAAGCATGACAGGAGAGCAGAGAGAGATTTTCCAGCACACCCCTCGCCTGCTCTTGGGAAGGGAACTGCATGGGAAGAAGTGGGAACAGACAGACAAGCCCAAATTTTCCAGGTAGTTCAAGATCCTTGTTCTTGGTGGACTAAGGTGACCCAACTCATACATAACACCTTTCTACTTCAAAATCACCTTGAGTCAGGGCAGCACAAGCCTTGGGGAAAGCAGGATAACTCAGATCACTGCCAGCCCCAGCATCACCTCCACATGGCACATGCCTTGGGACCTCCAGCCCACATCCATGGCTCCACTGATCCACCGGCAGGGCCACGGGAGAGCCGTTCCCAGGGAGGAATGCAGCCCCTCCTGAGCAAACAGCTCCCTGCTCCTGATTATGTATCTGTTTCTGAATGTTAACAAACAGTCGGCAGCAGCTGATTGAGTGGGTTATTAGCAGAATGAAGACAGATGGTGGAGGATTAACTCCAAAGTGTCTTTATTGCAAGGCCGTCATTGCAGACAGCTCTGCCTCTCCCTCTGCCTACAACTGTCACCAGCCTAATTTCACCCAACAGCTCCCACCACACACCAAATGTGAGCCTAGTACACACCAAATGTGAACACAGCACACACCAAACCATGAGAACAGCACACACCAAATATGAGCCCAGCACACACTAAACCATGAGAACAGCACACCCCAAATGTGAGCCTAGTACATGCCAAATATGAGCCCAGCACACAGCAAACCATGAGAACAGCACACACTAAACCATGAGAACAGCACACACTAAACCATGAGCACAGCACACACCAAATGTGAGCCTAGTACATACCAAATATGAGCACAGCACACACCAAACCATGAGCACAGCACACACCAAAGTGTGAGAAGAGCACACACCAAACAATAAGCAGACCACATACTAAATGTGAGCCCAGCACACACCAAATGTGAGCCCAGCACACACCAAACCCTGAGCCCAGCACTCAGATGAGCCCACCATCAATCCCAGTGAAGGGTAGAGCGTAGAACAGCCATGCTGGAGCAACACCTTCCTGCTCTCCAGCCAAATACACCCCAATTTCATCACCAAATCCAGCACTTTTCCCGGTGTGGGTCTCACAGAAGCAATAAAGCAGGAGGTGGTCACACCCAGTGTGGGGCAGCAGAGCAAGGAGAGGACCCAGGTTGGGTTTGCTGTGCCCATCATAGCAAGGGTGGCAGAAGCCCAGGCTGCTGGTCCCTGACAGCTGGGAGAGGCACCAACACCACACCCAGACCAGTCTGTTCACTACACAGACACTGATACACCCTGACATGAAGGACTGATGGAACTAAAATGGACAGAGGCAAGTTCACAGACACTGATTTTGGCTCCTTGCCCTGGAGTCCAGCTCAGCTGGAAGAGCCACATCTGCTCTCAGCTGGGCTGATGGACACCCATCCCCTGGCAGCTGGAGAACAAATAACAGAATGCCACTGAAGACCCTCTCTGGGCGTGTCCACAGAGCATCTCTAATCCACATTTATTTTGCCCTGCTGGGAGAGGTTGCCAGGCTGGTCTGCAAGAGTCCAGCCTGGATCTTCTTCATGGGGACAGCCAAGAGAAACACTTCCATAGAACTGTAAAACCTCCTGAGCTGGAAGGGACCCGCAGGATCACTGAGTCCAACTCTTGGCTCTTCACAGGACACCCCAACAACCCCATCCTGTCCCTGAGAGCATTGTCCAAACCCTCCTGGAGCTCTGGCAGCCTGGGGGCTGTGCCCACTGCCCTGGGGAGCCTGGTCAGTGCCCAACCACCCTCTGGGGTAAGAATCTTTTCCTCATATCCAACTTAAGTGATTTCCCACCAAGAAGTGTTTCCTCCACACTTCCAAAGCCTCTAAGTCCTTCTCTGCTTCTCTGCCTACAAGTGATTTTGTAGATGTCTCCACTGAATGACAGCAAGGTTCTAATGATCCCTGTAATTACCCATTTCCACTAGGATGAAGACCCCACACCTCACAATTATCCCACTGCCCCACTCCCTAGCTGTGCTTTCAGCTCCTTCAGCTCCCTTGCAATCATTAATAGGGCTGTTCATTAGCACCATCATGCAATAAAAGGGAGAAAAAGCTCTTCCTTGGCAAAAATACAAAAGGGAATCAGTCTCTGTCCTCATCCTTACAAGGGAACTGGTTCCAAGAGGCCAGCTCAGGCACCTTGGGCAGGTAATTCCTTCCTGGTACCTCTGTAGGTGACCAGACACCTGACCCCACCCCAGCTCACACACAGAGTGTGGGGCTGCACTGCAATCCACCAAAAACCCGGGAGGCTGCAGGTCTGCAATTGTCATCCAGAGCTGCTTCAAGCGAAAACACAAATCCTGGGTGGTCTTTGTAGCCATGGAAATCCCCCTGACTTTTGGTTTTTGGCAGATTGTACCTTTAAACATAATGGCCCTGCAGCCTGCAGGGGCCAGAAACTGGCTGCAGTCAGGCAGGAACACTTTGTTCCCTTTCCCACACAAAAGCTTTACTTTTGGCCTTTCATGTTCCTTTGTTCTCCCCACACAAAGCCCTGCTCAGCCTGAAAAGGGGGCTCACGTCTAGACTGAATGCACCGGGGAACCAGGGCGATCCCAAAGGATTGGCAGGATCCAAGGAGTGTCCTGCCAGCTCATGGACACCCTGTGAGCACCCCCAGGGTGCCCATCTGGGCACAGCCACGGGCAGCCTCTCCAAGAGGTTTGAGGGACAGGAAGGTGTTGAGAGAGGGAGAAACTGCCCCTTCTCACAGCGCTCGGACGAGACTCTGCCATCCCATCTCCCAGAGGACGGCTCCTTCCAGTTAAAAACATCCTCTAATCAATGTTTAAAGAGCATGTGGTAATTAACAAGCAGGAGGTGAAGCCTTGTGAAGTACTTTCCCCATGTTATCAGCTCAGTATCAGGGCTCCCGGGAACGTGAAGGAACCTTTGATCTTCTAACTGATATTTGAGCCATAAACTTGCCTCTCCAAGAGTTTTACTCCATGGAAACAAACTCACCTTTTGCTTCCTGTGAGAGCAGACACATCCATGGCTATCTGCTGGTGATTGGCCATCCCACAGGGAAAAGGAATCATGGAATGGTTTGGGTTGGAATGAATCTTTCAAGCTCATCTGGTCCAATCCCCCTGCAGTGTGCAGGGACACCTTTCCCTAGACCAGGTTACTCAGAGCCTCATCCAGCCTGACCGTGGATGTTTCCAGAAAAGGAAGTGCAGTAGGGCAAGAAATCACACTCTTTGTCTACATTATTTCCACTCTAAGCCCCCCAGAAGGGTTAAATCCACACTTGGGTCAAGTTTGTGGTTCCCAGAGTGGCCTCCCAGCAGCCAAACGCTCCTTGACACATCCTGGAGACCCTCCCATCTCCCAGGGCTCGGGGATCTGTGGTCCTGCTCTCACCCAGCATTAATCAGAAGCTGCTGTGCCAGGGTTTGCTCCAGGAACAGAAGCTGCCAGAAGCAAGGATGCCACTTCTTCCGAGCATAAATAGTTTTTGTTTAGTTATTACACTTCATAATTATTTATGATATTTCTATGGATTAATCAATGCTCATAAAGTACTCGGGGAATGACTAGAATATCAAACAGGGAAATTTTAGCAGGAGTTTGATGAGCAATGGAATGGTGCCTCTGAGGGGTGCAAAGCCACTGGAAAGAGGGATTCTGGAAGTGTCGTGGTGAGGCATTGCCACCCAACTAGAACAAAAAGAGTAGATGCAGCAATTGCTGAAAGAGCTTCCCATGTGACAAATCCTTTCCAAAGGAAAAGAGAGTGGATTTTGGATGTATGGAACCACTAAGCTCCTGCTCTTCTCTTGCAGCTTCACACAGGGGACTTCCCTCATCCATGCCTGCTAAGATGCTCCACAGATCAAAGGGAAAGCAGGATTTTCTCCTCAGTGTGAACAAGAACATGGATCATTCCTAGCAGGGACAGCCCTGGCAATGAGATGGCTGAAGAGGAGGAGGAAGAGAAGGTGAGGGAACTGCTCACCTTCAGTCATCCTGCGGTACTTCTCCTTGTACATGAACCCCAGGACTAGGCAGCATCCTCTTCCTGGGAGCCCCAGTTCTGCAAGAGAAGAGAGCGTGGTGTTAGACCAGGCTGGGGACAAGAGCAGCTCCTGGGAATGCTGCAGGGAGCAAATCCTGCTGGGGACAAGAGCAGCTCCCGGGAATGCTGCAGGGAGCAAATCCTGCTGGGGACAAGAGCAGCTCCTGGGAATGCTGCAGGGAGCAAATCCTGCTGGGGACACCATTCAGGTAAAGCACCAGCGAGGTGGGCCTGGAACTGAACTCTTTGGTCAGCCTCACTGGGCTGAGCTTTGCTGGGCTCCTGAGCCAGTGTATCGAGAGGCAGGAGGGTCCCCAACCCCTCCATTGCCTGTTTCTCAACCACTCCTCTATTCCAAGTGAGGGAAGGAGCTGCATCTTCCTCCACAGCAGCGTGTTGCAACAACATGGACTCTTTGATCCTTTCCTCCCTTAGTGGGCAGCAAAGCAAAACGGGAAATGGCCCTCGGGAGGGAAGATAAGTCTGGCCTGAGGAATCTTGCTCTTTAGAAGCAAGCAAGTGACCCCACGAGCAGCAGAGTGCCAGAGTCTGAGGAGGCACGCTCCTTTGATGCCTTGATTTCTTAATGGGGCTTTTTGACTCTTGGTAACAAACAGAGGGAGAGATGTGAGCGTGGGTTTTTCCAGAAGCGGCCGCGCACGCGCTCTCCCCGCGCGCCGCTCAGAGCTCTCGTTCTTCAAACAAATCCTCCTGTGTCACAGCGCAGAAAATTAAGGTACCGTGTCCCCGATGCTGCCTGTGGACCTGCAGAGCTCCTCGGGGGCTTCTGTGCTCTGCAGAGCCCTGCTGATCAAAGCCCCTTTGATGTTTACTTAATGTGGCTGCGGACTGCGCAGAGCCGGGGAAGGAGCGCCGGGAAGTTGTGTCGCACGCACGAGGGGAAGGCAGCGAAGCAGGAGGGTGGAGAGCACAGAGGTGGCTGTAGAGCAGAGCAAGAGCTGCCTGGCAGCCTTGGCATTAGTGCCACGATGCAAACTTGGGGTTGAATGGCAGGTGGGGACTGAGCCCAGAGGAAGAGGGGAGTCGCTCGCTGCGGCGTGATGGGATGTGCAGTGTCACGGGAGACACCCAGGCTGACATGGGTACAGACCCAGATACACAGCATCCCTCTCTAACAGTGCTCACTGCCATGGCATCCCAGTGCAGTGGTTATAGCCTCCTCTTGAGCACAGTATGAGGAAGAATTTGAGCCTAAGCCCAGAAAAAAACAGATTTCTTTGGACCCCAGGACACTCAGGGTACACGCAGGACTAGTTAAAGCACTTTCTCTAACATTAAACAGGATCCCACCTTGCAGGAGGCTAAGGACCAACAGCTCCTGGTCCTAAGGCTGCCAGCAGGGAGGGCAGCAGCATCTAACCAGCACAAATCACAGGTGTGATTTCAGCAAAGTTGATGCTCCAACAAAAGCAAGTCTTAGCTCAGAGTAAGCTGGAATGTAACTGCTCCCCTAAATACACCTTGCCCTAGGGAGAAACAGGCACGTCCACAAAGTGACTCACTTCACCTACCAGAGTGACTTTGAGGGGCTTGTAACTCACTTTTTGGCCATAAAGGGCGGTGACTAACTCTGATCTAAAGATGTCTAAAGATTAGACAAGTCAGGAGAGATGAACTGACTGTCAGAACTCTCAGTGGTGTCTTGAATCAGAGTCCTAATCAACAGGAAGGGGCAATGAGTGGAAAGCAGCCCTCTTGCTCTGCAGGACAGAGATGATGAGATCTACTGTGACCTGCACCAGGTCCACAACCACAAACACACTGAGAAAGGGGTCCCCTTGCAGAGCGTTGGATGCCCCCAACACTCCTGACTGCAAAGAGCTGCTGGTTTAGCAGGACACCCAGCACAGGTCACCCAGCACAGGTCACCTCTCTCAGCCCTGGTTTGGCTGAAGGACACCCAGCTCAGGTCACCTCCCTCATCCTGTCTGACAACTGGAATCCATCAGACCTTGCTGGCTGTGGGATGGGGTTTCCATACAGGGCTGCAGGGTTGCTGTGGGGACAGACAATCCCTGTGCCCCTGGCAGGAGCTGAGACCTGCCCAGAGCCCCGAGCCAGCAAAGCAGGTGGGAGCCTTTATGTCCTCATTGATAGGAAAACAAAACCCCATCGATCGCTATTGAGCCTCCAACCAGCACCAAGGTATCAAAGTGTAATTAACACAACACGATTAGATTAGTGCCACACGGGGCAGCACAGCCCACAGAGGAGTCGAGCAAGCCAGAATTCCTCTGGCTGACTGAGCCCTGCACTCGTGGGCCTGGCTGTGGATGCTGTGCCTGACACAGAGCTGGCACAGCAGGGGCTGCCACGCCCTCCATGGCCCAGGGCCACAAACACCATCAGGAGCACAGAATCATGGAATGCTTTGGGTTAGAAGGGACCTTAAAGCTCATCTTGTTCCAACCCCCTGCCATGGGCAGGGACACCTTCTGCCAGACCAGGTTGCTCCAAAAGCCCAGTCCGACTGCCCTTGACCCACTCTCCAGGATTCGGCAGCCCCTTGGCCAGGGGAGCCATTCCCCCTCGTCCTGGCCCTCCATCCCTTGTCCCGCAGTCCCTCTTCCAGCTCTCTACGATGCCCTTTAGGTCCCTGTAGGGGATCTCAAGGTCTCCCCTTGAGGGACCTTCTTTCCTCTCCAACGGAAGCCCCCCAGCCTCCCAGCCTGGCTCCAGAAGCAGAGGGCTCCAGCCCTTGGAGCATCTCTGTGGCCTCCTCTGGAGTCACTCCAGCAGCTCCAGGTCCTCCTAACACTGGGGGCCCCGGAGCATCCCCAGCACAGCATCCATGGGGGCAGCAGCAGCTCCAGTGTCCCTGGGGGGGTGACTGTCCCACCACTCCCATGTCCAGCTCTCACCTTCCCATTGCAGGGAGCAAAATGCTCCCAAAAAGAGGTCGTGGGGCTCTGGCCAAGGCAGTGACTGAGCTACCCAAGAGTCCCAGTCCCAGCTGAGCCCTCAGAGCAGGGAGGGAGGCTCAGGGCTGAGCCCCACGGGCTGGATGCAGCTGAAATGTGGGTTATTACCCATCTGGACCCTGGATCAACACACACTGCTGTGGGTGCCTATTTCCCACTTGCCTCCCCGAGGGGTGCTATAATTAACACTTATAAACCACTTTGATATCCCATGATGAAAGGAGCTGTACAAAAGCACTGCATTATAATAATTCATACCATAAATTTGTGAGAACATGCAAAAATCTTTATAGCTAAAGGCACCTTTAAATACTTGAGAGCGCCTTTAAAAGGTAAAATACTTCAAGATTACTCTGCTGCCTGAGGATGTCTCACCATTTCATGGCTTTTAGTGGCTACCTAAAGCTAAAATATTTAAGCAGGTACCCAGCATTTTAAATGTCTCAGCTTTAGGGGGGCTGCTGAGACACCACTGAAAACACAACATTTTACTGAAAACACAATATTTTAACCCATACCTATCCCCCACTCTCCCAAAACAATCCCATCCATTGCCTTGCAACAGCAATTGAATTTTCTCAGCGGGGCAAAACTACTTTCAGCTGAAGTTTACCATCCCAGGCACTGTGAAGAAGTGGGAGCTCAAGGATCCTGGTTGGAAAACACACGGCAGGGCCCTGGTTTTGACTCACTCAGAGGAACCTTCATCAATAAAACTTCAAACTGGCACAAGAGCCACTCATCAGACAAATCAGAACCAAGTTAAAACCACATGTTGCCAGTGACAACGAAGCAAAAGCCAATTTAAAGAAACAAGAGCTCAGGGTCTCCAAGAAACAAATCTTCAGGGTGGAAAATCGGGGTGAAAGTTTGTTTTGGAAGAATGATCTCCCAGCACTGACCCAAACTGTGGAATCCTCCTCCTTTTTCCTGGTTTCTCCCAGTGTTTGGAATTTCCTCACTCCATTCCAAGGCAATTGCTCTGCTCAGGAAGGGAAGGAGGTTTCTGATCACCGGGGCACTAAAGGCTAAAGCTGCAGAGCAGTAATAAGGGTTTATTAACATAGTCATAATGTCTACTATTGTGTAGCTGTATCCCACCAGGAATGATAATAAATGTTTAATAGCCCAATAATACCTGTTTAATAATTTTTCAGCTCACCCTGTCTAATTGCAAGTTTATTAAAGAACAATAAACTTTACAATCGTTGTAAAGGCGTAATTGCAATTCCATTGCTTATTTAATATTGAGTTAATGATATTACAACTAAGTTATATTTTCCCATACATATTAAATATCAATTAGCTGGTTTAAACTATTGATTTGTATTTAATTAACTATGCTATTATATACCAATTAAGCTCTTATAAGAGAAGCAGAAACAGCTGGTCTCTTAAATTAAATTTTTAAAACTTTGTATTAACATAAATATCACGTTTCCATTTTCTCATGTTTTCCTTTTACAGTGACAGCAATTTGCTACCTGTAAATACTTTTGTCCAGTTGCAGGAGTTTAACTTTACACTTTTTCTTTCCAGGATGGGGAAAGAACAACCTCCATGGCAGATATCCTGGTGCCAGAGACACCCAAACATGGGAACTGGGAAAGGCTGAGGGCTGGAAAAGCCTCATCTCACCTGGGGATCCCAGAAGCAAAGAACTTGGCTGGGAACTCTTCAAAGAGCACTAAAGCCTCCAAGGAAAGAAGCTCAACACCTTCCTGAGTTGGCCAGGAAGGGTGAGAGGAGAAAATCCTACGTCACAAATCAAAGAGATTTTGGTCACTTTACACACTTTGATTGAGAAACCTCATCCTTCTGCTCAGAGTTTTCCTGTCCTGATGGATGCAGGTGCCTGCTGTTGGAGATCTTATTAAAAAGACACATCTGGACAGAAAAGCCTGCTCTCCCAAGGCCTCCCCTGCCCTTGGCTTCACTATGTCTGGGGATGCTGCACCCCAAAAGTTACAGGAAATGTGTGAAGAAGCATTTTGTTCGTTTTCCAGCCTCCTGGTTTCTCAGTAACCACCTTGCTTTTCTCCTGGAGGTTTCCTAAAGATCTCCACGGCCTCTTCT